AGGATAGTTTTTTAGATTCTTTTATAGTTTGATTATTTTTGTATTTGTTTTAGTTTTTTTACCTTCCCCATTTTCATTTTACCCTTATCCCTTTTTTTTTTTTATTTCTCTACAAGAAAGTGTCATCAGATTGGTAATACTCTATTGTAGAGCAGTGATTCTGACAAGGTCAGTGCTCTTATCTGTTGATGTTCAGGGCTCATATCCTCAGTAAGTTGAGGATCCCGAAAGAAGGAAAATTATCACTTAGGCAGGTCGCTCCTGCCATGATTTTACTATGATAATGAGACAGATCGAGAAAATCTTTATTTGTACAGAATATAATAGTTTAGTGAATTGCATGTAAGCCTAGCTAGCTGAGAGCATTTTTGTAATCTACTTCCGATAAATAAAATAAAGGTAGAATCACTGAAGTAAAAAAAAAAAAGTAAAAAAAAAGTAAAAAGAAACTTTTGTGTTTTATTACAATATTAACAATACTGATAGGCTTTTATAAATATATCACAAAATTCCTACATCTCTGCCAATATCAGTTGCAGAAATTTCTCTAGCCCTATAAAAAATGTTGTTCGTATTTATTATTCCATGTTTTTTACATGAATGTTTCATTTTCATGGAATTTATAACCTTAAATTATTGAAATTTTCATCTCCCTAACACAGATATCCGTAAATGCATCATTTTTATTGAATTTTTATGGAGGCAACGGATAAATAGTGGAAATATTCAGATAAAATTTTTTATAGGGTAGTTATGTCAGTTATATTAATTACGGCAAGTCTCTTAGGTTACGTCGATTATATCAGTTATGGCAAACGACAACTAACACTACTTGCGTCATTACAACACTTTTGACTTAACGACGCATCAAGTTGACGTATCCATACGTCTTCCAATTTCTGCACTTATAGTCAATACATAACCTGCCCGGATCAGTACTTTCTAACCCAAGTAAGATCTCTAGGCCCGAGGCTTGTTTTTACATCTTATTCCATCAAATATTCCCATTTTTAACTTATAAAATTGTGCCAAAGTTAAATTGTAATATTTAATTGTGTGAAAGTTAAATTCTTAACATGTTTAAGAACTGAATGCAGGTTTTCTTACAGTAGTTTTATTAGTTTATCTTTTGATAGTTTTTACAGTTTAATCGAAGTGTTAAAAATATAAACGGTATAAACCTATCACGTTGCTAGTTTATATTTTTATCAGGTTTTGTCACTATTAATAATGTCCAATTTTGGTAAATTTATTAATTTCTTTTAACATTTCATAAATTATACTAAATGGTAACGATGGGTGGCTTGGTGGCTTAATCATATGAACGTTATTCAAGGCACGTAAAATGTGACAATGGGTAGCAGTTAGAGCCTGTTATAATAGGCTACTTCATGATTACAAAGAAAATACTTATAAAATGAGGGTTTAAACGCCCCCATAGCTAAGTAAACGTACCCGTAGTGGCGTAAATGTAGCTGTTTGAACTTGTTACAATCACACACTTGCATAATTGTAACGAGGTAATTTAGAAAGTGGGAGTAAAAACATGCCCATGGTCGTGCAGAAGTAGTGGTGGGAGTGTAAACGTAGCCGTTGGAGCGTAAATGTATCAAAAATTGAAAATGTATTTAAGACCCAGAGCTCAACGCAATAAAGATCTGGATTTCAATTCCATTCCATCATTGAATAAATAATTCGTTCCACTTTCGCTTAAATAAAAGTATATGTTATCTGTCTTCTGAATTCGACTTGTAACTTTAATAAACCTTTTCGAGACTCAATTCGACAGACTGAATTGACTTGTAACTTCGATTCGGCTCAGCAAGACTAGAATTCTAGAACGTTTGCGAAATTAGATATTACCATTCACATTAGAGGCTTGTGGTAATTATGGTAGAGAATGACTTACGATTGGCCACTAGACTTTGTTGATCTATCGCGTGAACTAAAAGTTATCACTGATATCATTTGCTCATCGTCCACTTTTAAATCATCCTTAATATCATCAAATCATCATCACTGCCCTTGATATCACCCCTTGGTTATAACTCTTAAAAGCATCACCTGTCATTGCAACACCCAGTGCAATGGTTTTAGATAGCTCGCGCGCTCCTCATTGATATTAAAGTATTCGTTTGTCGGGTCATATTGTCTAGTTAGTCCTATAACAATTACAAAAGACCCCTTTTGCTAATCATTATCTCCCCGTACACTGTTGGAGTTAAATTGGCCTTTCATTCATTTAATTCTATTGAACTATCCCATAAACGGTTACAGTACAAATATAATGGGAAATTTATTATTATAGTTTTTAAACACATACGGGATATTACTCTTAATAACAACTCGGGTAAAAATACAAACATTTAAAGTTTATATTAATGTTTTTTACGATAATGTTTTTTACCATTTAAGAAAAACATTTTAACTACTAAGAAAAATTTTAACATTACATTTAGTAAAGTTAAAATTTAGAATCTTTAAATATCATCATCTTGCTGCGAAACAGATAAAGAAGTAAATGGGATCGAGATCGGATAAATGAATTGGCCTGGTCTTCATTTTAATCGTCAACATTTCGTTGTCATGTTTCATTGTCAATTTCAGTATTTTAACAATTGACTTTATCGTCACCGCTGCTTTTATTACTTTCTTCGAGTTTATTACTATTCTTTCAACGGCTTTCAATATTTTACAAATATTGGATGGATCTCTATAAGTTGAATAAAAGTTAATAATGTTTATAAAAGAATGTTTGGTTTTTTTTTCTTAGTGTCAGTATGTTTAAAAGAAAAAAAAATACTTGAATTAATATCATTTTATGTAAATTTTTAATTACGTATGAGCTAATAACAATTAAGTATGAGCTAATAACATATTTTGTTATGTGAGAGGTCAAGGTATTAGAAAAATAATGGAGCTGTTACGAAATAACTTAAACTAAAAAATGAATAAATGTAGATCTAGAGCCAGACTAAGGCCAAAATTTAAGTAAAATTACCAAATATGTTGAGGTCTTGTTAGCATCGAAATGCTAATTTGTATAAAAGTTGAAATGATAAATACCTAAATCGTTTAAATAAAGAGTATAAGTAAATGAAGTGTAAAGAGAAAGCTACTATAGAATTAGAAAATTTTGAAAGTATATTAGCAACAGTAGACAATGAACTTTGAAATAAATTAATATTACCAGAAACTACTCTTATTAAATAGTGAAAGAATCAATTTAAAGTTTACGACTACGTCATAACACAATTAAGATTTCGGGTTTATAAAATTTTATAATTAAGGGGGATTCAGCGAAACACTTAACAAAAAGATCACTTTGGAAGCATTGAATTAAAAAAAAATCTGTTAAAATCTGTCGATTCTGTTAGTCAATTATATACTGTGCTTTATAAAACTTACATATTTTATGACCCGGTAGAGTTATGAGAAACAAAAAAATTTTTTTGTGTCGCCTAATCTGGTGTAAAATTACTATTATTAAAAAAAATTTATTTGAGTACTTTCTTGACAGGGTTTTAAAAGCAAACCCTAATTTTAACTTTAACTTCATATACTGTTACGACAAAGGAGAGACTTAATAACTGTACTGCCAATTCAACTCTGGTCGTAAGCATTAAAAGTAAGATACCAATTATTTATTATTGCATACAAGACATTAAAAGTACAAAGAAATATGAGTGATACAAGTAAGTATCTTTCTAACAAGTGTACCCGGTACACTATATTCCTCTAAAATATCCCTTATTCCCAAAAAAACTAAAGAACTAAAGAAGTACTTCCTAACTGCTATCCCTATTATTAGACTTAAATTAGCTATACACTATTACAAAAATATAGTATAACAATATAAACGTCTAATTAAAGTAACCCTGTGACTACACTAAACTATAAGGTTACAAAGGGCTTATTTACAAACGTTACGTTATTTTTCGTAACAATACTCTTTTTGCTAATCTGGTATGAAAATTTTATATGTTGTATAAATGTGGGATAAAATCTTTGAGGCAAATTTCTTTAAATCTTATGATTTTATTTCCTCCCACATTATATATAATAACCATCGTGATCTCCATATTAAAAAAAGGGGTTGTGTATAGGAACTTTGAAACACCCGGTATAATTATCCGGGTCCTGTTACACCTGATCTTGAAGTCCGATTCGCAGTTCAGTAAATCTGCGCCACAAACAATGGTACATATTCAACGCATGTCATATCATTCCTGTAAGCTTTTTTATTCTTAAAAGCGTTTTATTCTTCCAAACAGCCTATTCCTGCAAACATTTTTATCTTAAAAGCGTTCTTATTCTTGTATAATTAAAATGCCTTTTATTTCTCCAGAACAACCACCAAGTAAAAACTTTTTAAAAAGATCGTGGGATGAAATTGAAGATTCACAAGATGAACAAATTACTCCTAGACCACCTCTAAAAGAACTTCCACAAAATGAAGTTGCAATCAATACAACTAAACAAGAACCATATTATAAGAATGAAATATACTATGGATATTTTTTGAATTCTACCAAATGGAATCTTCTAAATTTTTTAAAACACTTGGAAAATATGGGAGCATTAACAAACCGACACCATGATCACCGTTTATATCGTACATTACTTCAACAAATTGATTTTGATCCTGAACAATCTGAGGTGTGGCAACAAAGAGCAAAATTTTGCAACAGTGAGGAGGTTTTCAAAGTAAGCGTAATAATATTATAGGGATATGCTTAGAATTTTTAGGATAATTTATGGAAGTTAGTCTAGGCTTTAGTGCTGGGAATGTATTCTGAACTTTCAAAATGAGTTGTAAAAAAGTATTCAATACTAGGCATCTACGCCGTACTTTTTATGATGAGTTGCAAAAGAGTATTTATAATACTAGGCATATGAGTTGCAAAAGTGTATTTATAATACTAGGCATATGAGTTGCAAAAGAGTATTTATAATGCTAGGCATATGAGTTGCAAAAGAGTATTTATAATGTTAGGAATCTACTCTGAACTTTCAACATCATTGTATAATTTTTGTTGCTTATTAGAATTAAACTTACAATATTTAAATTTTAATTATTTAGAAGCAGATAACCCGAGCTGTAGATAATTTTTGGAACCGAATCGAAGCAGAACAAAATTCAATAACACAATTTGAACAAGAGGTAGAAGAATTTTCAAAATTAAGAGAAAGCACACAAGACGAATTCTTAGGAAATTTTGAATGCGCAGTTAAAGAATCACAACAAGAAATAGGCAATAAGCGCAAGTTTAATAAGTATATATTTTAATAAAAGCAACTATATTTATGTATATATATTTATTTATTTATTAAATATATACACCTATTATATTATTGGTTAATTTAGTTTACTTAAACGAAGAATTTTGTTGATAAATAGCAACAGTGATATAAACTTTATTACTTCTGAGCATATCAACGAAGAATTTTTAATCGGTATCCCAACTATTCAAGATATACCGCTAATACAAACTTTATTATCCAAGTTAAATGAAATGGTATATAAAAGCTATTTTTTAAAAAAAAATTGTGAAATAGCATTATCATAATAAAATTTAAAATGGATTTGGAATTTGGGTTCGACATAACTTCTATACTTTCGTAGATCAAATAAAAACCAATTTTTCAGAAGATGAAGTTTTTTGCATTGATTATATATTTGATGTATTACTTCACTTGTGAGTTTAAATATTCTCTGTTTTTAAATTAATTGCCTTATAGATTTTTACTAAAAAGTATTGTTATAATTATCATAGCACGGGATTGTTTGGTGCACGATATTCTGAACCAAGAACGGAAGCTGATATACAAGCATTATATGTCATTCCATTGCTTAAAGTTATAAGAAGATTTAATATACAACTTACAATCGGTGAACATAAAAGCAAGGCTGTAGAATATAGACAAAGCATTAATTCCTCAGAATCTTGGCCAAAAGCAATAAAAATGGATGCAAGCGGAGAGATTGATGGATTTGAAATCTTTTCTCATGAAAATGCCTCATTTCATAAAGACTTAACCAAAAAAACTAGAGTGGACCTTGAAAAATTATCTGTTTACATGCGCGATGATCCTTTTATTTACTGGAAAGATAAATACGATGAACTTAGAAGTCAGTTTGTAGAAATTAAGGATCATATGACAAGTTTACGTAGCTGGGGAATGCTAACGATGGGACCAAGAGCAGGTCGCTCTGGATTACATTGTGAAATATATGCCATGCGGCAAATATCTCCGGGTTATTTTACCTGGGTGTTAGTAGACTGGTTCTTATTTCCACATAAAAATATGGATCCCTCATTTCAACCCTTTTCTAAATGTATAGAAGTAATGTTACGGTTGGCATTCGGATTAAAAGAAACACAAAGGATGATGCATGAATTAGATAATCATTGTACAAAAATTAGATTAGGAAAAAAGATAGCGTATATTTAAGATAGAAAGTCACTCAGACTAATGAATCTAGTCTGTATTAGCATATTAGTAATTTTAATACAGAATTATCAGATTTTTATTGTACTGAATATTATCTTACTTAGTAAAATTTCAGCTTGCATGTTAAAGACGTAAATTTTTTCACTTTAATTTATGAAATTTAAATATTCTATATCTGAACATTCTATAAGATGAATGTTTAAAAAATAAGCATAGCGAGCTTTGGTTGTGATTGGTTGATTATTGCTGTTTATCTCATTATCAGAAAGTCTTATTTTTTTTAGTGCACTATACGACGTGGCGTTTTCAAATTTGTAGACACGGTTTTACTAGATTTCACATACCGTTCAGATTAATATTATCAACAGTTTATAGCGAAAAAGACCCTAAAAAAGAAATCAACTGTATCACAAACTTTGAAGGCGTTGTATATAGTTTCTCGTGCTCTTACACCCTGAGCAGAACTGAACTGAGTAGACTGGATCCGTGCAGAGCAGTAGGAAAAATCTCCAATCGTATGTACGAATTGATCGATAATAAGTGAAACGTTCATGCGGATGTGATAATCATTGCTATTGTGACACAAGTTGTATCTATCAAATATGCTTAATTTATAAAAATCTTGAACCTTACATAATAGTCATTGATCCAAATTTATTTTTAAGGTTCGCCTGTCAAGAATAATATGCATTATCTGTAGTATATCACTAATTAGCTAAAGGTGGCTACGTTAATAGTTGAAAGTCATATCTAAATGTAGTTACTATTATGATTAATCTCAAGTTGGGATCATATCAACAACATGGCGCATGATAAAGTTTTTTTTTTACCGTTGTTCTTTAATGTAAAAAAAAAGGCTGCATAAGAAGACACCTATATGTTACGCTCATTTTGCTATTTATGCCGATTATCAATTGACGATAAAAAATAAAAATAAAAATTTTTAAAAAATATTTTTTTGATATGCAAATAATACACATTTGAATAATCAATATTTAATTTATCTATTATCAAAACAAAGCATTCGAATTATGGCCATTCAATGTTTTTCTTTTATACATATTTTTGCGAATTTGTGAATTTATTGTATATAGATCCACAATTTATTCTAATTAATTCAAATTAAGTTTAAAATGGGTCAATTTTGAATATTCAATGAATTGAATATTCAATTTCAACCTCTAATATGGCTTTGATGAAGAAGAAAATTATCATCCCTTAAATATGCAAATAGCATGATCCGGGCGTAGAGATTTATTTATAGCAACATACAGAATAATGAAGGGGAAGTCAGTTTCTTGTGGCACAAAAGAGTGGTATTCAATAGCTAGATTCATAAGTGTACGTGAAAAATAGAAACATGAATTAAAAATAATCGGAATATAGAAGGCATCATTCGCAGCAAGTATCGTTATTTATTTTAGTATTTTATTCATTATTTTTAGTTTTTAAGTTATACAATATAATATGCTAAGCGTATGTTAATATACTAGTTATATAATTAGACATTCTTTCCCAAGGTTATCCAGTTCCAAGTTTATTTAACATATACTCTCACTTACCGTAATGCCATTCTGAATTTTATGGAACTATTCGCTGGCGTCGCCTACGATAGAAATTACATATGGTTTATTTGCTAGGAAAATTACTAATGAAAGCAAGTGCCAAACAGTGACTTTCCATGCAGATAACCCATATAAGTCGCGCACAGGAGTATAATAAATGTTTTAACACTATTTAATGCATTTCATTTTAGATTCTCTGGAATCGTGATATAATGCTTCTCGAAATATTCCTTCATATGAATTCTAATAATGTGAACTTTTAGTACAATTCAAAAGATCTTGGAGATGAAAAAATGTAGCAGTTCGTTGTAGCTGAATCAGATGCATGTAGTGTTCTGCAAAAAATCTTGATCCGTCCGCCCGTCCACCCGGATCCGTGGGCAGACCTGGTTCGGACCCATAATCGAGCGATACGTGGGGAATGGTCTAGGAAAACCTGCCTTCGACAGATAGTTTGAGTTTTTAAAAAAATGCGATTAATGATTGTGTAACATAAATTTTTGTCAATTTATTTTTAGAATAATTACATCATAAAAATTTTTGTGATTATTAATTATGATAATATCGAAATATGTATATTGAAAACTTCCTGTATATCACGTTTAGATATCACGCAATTCAAATTTAATTTGATTGGGCAATTTTCTGCCTTTAATCTATTTTTAGAACATCAAACTTATAAACAATTATTTTTTCAAATCGAAAAATCTTGATAATTTACTAAATTAATGTAGGATAAAAAATGTAATTTATATAAGTAAGAACCAAAACTTTAATAATCTTAAAATTAACCAAAAAGTGCCGAAGGCAGGTTTTCCTAGACCATTCCCCACGTATCTGTATTGAGACCCGCCCGGTCCGGTTCGAAGTATAAGCTAGCTTTTCTGATTGGTCAAAATGATCGGAAATGCCGGACCGGATCCAAGTTTTGGATCCGATTCATTCTTCGGACCGGATCCGGATCTTTGTAGCTGTTTTCATAAATTCTGGAAAATCTGACAAAAATTAACCGACCGAATATTTGCCGATTCAATAAGCTTTGAGAATTTATGAAAACAGCTGTAAAAAATATCCGCCCAGTTCTATTCATGCGGAACGTCCGATTCTCCAGCGTGTTTGGCTGTTCTGTAATACAGTAACGCTTTGTGTAATAATTCTCAACGGTGATCATGTGAGCGAAACCCAGGACGTTTTTTGCATTCACTTATCCATTATAAGTTCTACAATACATTCCAACAAACGAAAGTTTCAATCAAAAATATTGATAGTGGCACACAAAAGATAAATATTTAAACAGCACAAGAAATTTTTTATAAATAATAAATGGTGCGAGCAAGTTTTGTAGACTTAGTCAGCAAAGCCAGTGTAAAACATTAAAAAAGTGAATAAACATTATAAATGATGCGAGCAAGTTCTGTAGATTTAGCTAGCAAAGCCAACGTAAATATTGAAATAGTGAATAAATATTTAAACAGCACAAAAAAAAAAAATTATAAATAATAAATCATGCGAGCAAGTTTTGTAGACTTAGCCACATTACAAAGTATATATTTTTTATAAAACTTATTATACGTATAAAATTTTTAAAAACCCAATGTAGACTTATAAATTTTATATATTACATGATATAATATTTATATAATATTTTATTCGGCTTTGCTAAATCAAATCAGTGGTTTCAACACATAGTTGCTATATCTCGAATCGTACTAGTTAGCACATATCGGGGTACTAAGCAAAAATGCTCAGCGCCCCAAAAAACTTCACCATAGACCAATATCTTTACATATAATTTTATTCAGCTTTACTAAATCAAACCAGTGGTTTTCAACACCATAGTTGCTATATTTCAAATACTACTAGCTAACACATATCGGGGTACTAAGCAAAAGTGTTCAGCGCCCCAAAAAACCTCACCTTAACTAAAATTTAGACCAATAT